TTTCCCCAAATTACAGCTCTTTTATATCATGGAGAACACGCACACACACCTATTTGGACTGGCTTCTATAGCTTTAATATATGAAACCTTACATGGCCAAGTCCAGCACTCAGAAAGAAGCACCTCTTTCTAGATGAAACTGAACAACCACTGAGGTCTGCAAATTAATTCTCAGTGAGAGGTCCTGTACAAGATTAAGTAGTTGGACCCCACACGACCTGTGAAAACTTTCCTGAGACTGCTTGCTTATTAACTGAAGTATGCACCCACTTTGGAAAACACTGTAACACCAAACCAACATGGAATGTTTCATAAAGAAAATGGCAAGATAGAAAATATATTCAGATCTCTTACGCAGTGCAAGCCTTACCCAAAGCTTCAGGCTTGCTGCAAACTTGGAAGGGCACTGAGGCAGCTGGCCGGGCCAGCATCAAGGGAAGAAATTATATTATTACTAGTATTATTATTAAACAGATTTCTATACCACTGAGCATGTTAAAGAAATATCTCAAAGCATTTAACAGGGAGATTAAAATAGATCAAATCCATTAAAATACTGGGTGCATTAAATACATAATGATGGTTAAATTATTTCTAAAAATATAAAAATCAATACTCCCAACACCATAGCTAACAAACCATCTGGGCAGCATATTTACTGTGTAAGGGCCTGGGCAAGGAGATGGGTTTAACTCATGCCTAAAGTATTCTACGGTTGGTCTTGCTCAAATACTTGCAGGGTACATTGTAGAAAAGGTCCACTTCCAGGTTTCTGCAGCATGGAAATCTGCAGGTCGTGGTAAAGACAAGATGCCCCCTAATTATCTTAACATTTGCATAGGTGCAGACTGAAAAAAGGTGATATGTCAGATAACTGAGGGGCAATCTAGACTAGGTACTTATAACGTAATGCCTGATTCACTGGTATGTCATGTGATACTTACTCCAACCTGTACTCCTTGTGCTATTTTTGCCAAGACATCTCAGATTTCTTCAGAGCCAATGTATCTCAGTGTGTCCTAGATTTGCCTAAATGCTCTAAATGTCCTAAATGTTCTGGGTCCAGGAGAAGGTTTTATTTCAGCTGTTGAATTGCAAGGTGGTTCTGCCAGGGCTTAATAAAATGGCAGCAACTTGGAGATCCTTCCTTTCCTGCCTTCCTGCCTCCCCCATGGCTTCTCTCTCAGGCCTGCAAATGCCCTGTCCCCTCAGCTCTGAAAAAAATAAATGTTGTAGGATCTTTTCAAGCTTCCCTGATTATCTCCTTTGTCTATGTGCTCAAAATACATCTAGCTGAAACACATTTCTACTCAGAAGTTAATAAGATTATCTTCAATGGCTTTATTCACAATTAATTCACATGGTCCTGAGCAGAGTTAACTCATGGAAATTTCTGCATCACAGGAGGTCATGAGTGTTTGTTTTGGGGTGGAGGGAACAGAGATGCTGCTGCTCCCAGTGGCTTGAACCCATTAGTTAGGAAGACTGGAGCAAGCAGCACTGTCTTTCCCCTTCTCCCCTACTCTTCTGGGGAATACTCTGAAGGTGGCATGTGGGTATTGACAGCTGCCTCAGTATAGACCCTGAGCAGTCCTTCTTGGCAATGAATAGCTAGCTGGGACTCTTGACAGCTTTTATCTATGTCTCTTTCAAAGGAGAGAAAGTATTTCCACAAACATTATGTGGCCTTAAGGCAACAGTGTCCTTGCTGGGAGGATGGACATCTCCCCTCCCTGACACCTAGAGAATGAGAGAGAGAGAGAGAGAGAGAGAGAGAGAGAGAGAGAGAGAGAGAGAGGGAGGGAGGTTTATCAGGATATACAAATTTTATTTTTCTTTCTGCAAGTTAATGGAGCAATGCTGTCTCACTGAGTTGCAAAGCAAAGACATAAAGCCCCAAAAAATTGTCTGGGGAATCAAGGCCAACCCCACCACCACCAAGGAAACTTGTCAGTGGGTCTCTGCCACCATACATTTCTCTGTAACACTCAGTGAGGAAACCTGAAGCTCTGAGTTTCCCAAAAAGCCAAAGACCTCTTTTGCTTCAGCATCCCTCCTCCAAAATGGTCCAGAGCTTATCTGCCCACTATCCAAAGTATGGTCTGAACCAGAGATTTTCATTATGCATGGTTTTGAAGGTAATAATAGTCCTTTCTTATACTCCCTTGACACGGATTTCTCACTCCTTGAAAAGTGCATAGATGAACTTTGGCAGGAATTTAGGGCATGAACTACAGTCTAAACACAGTTATGTCACACCAATTCTAAAGAATAAAATTAAGAAAAGGGATTTAGTTAATTTTGACTGGATTGAATAATGGCTAGAATCTAAAGGAATGTTTGTGTGTACCTTGCAGACATGATGGAAGTGTTGCCAATTTCCCATTATAGCTGCAGCCACTTTCATACTACATTAAAATCCATTCCAGTCAAGGGTCACCAGGCCTTCAGGAGCAGATGTGAGGTGAAGCACAAGGGCTGTGTTGTTCAGGAGAGGTTGAAAAGCCCCAGTAAGAACATGGCCCATTCGTCCATGGCTACATGAATTTCAGACATAAGACTGGAAGTGGTTAAAATGAGCGTTTTGTTGTTAATACAAGATCTCTGGCCATCATTTGGCTTTAAAACCCTTTTCTTTCCTAGCTAAAGAATGTAATCAAAGCAAATGTAAAAATGAAAGGTTCTTAAACACTGAAAATAAATAATGGACAACTAGCTTCTCCTAGTACAGCAGAAATAGTATCATGGAAAAGTGGCAAAAGATACATCCGTTACAAGTGATGTTGGTGAAAATTATTCTGAGCAGATAGGAGGACGATATAATTACTCAGGATGAGCAGATTTTCTTTTATCCCAATAAATCACTTTGGGATGAAAAGATCGGAAAGACAGGTGCAAAACAATAGCATAAGCCTGTTTCTGGCATATTTACATAATTTCATATAAAGGAGCACTGGAGTGTGAAGTGTAAAACGAATGTGTTGGATTCTGAGAAAGAGCACATTATATGGAACAACTTAACACTTACTCCTGAGCTATACAGTTACTTAACATTTCTTGAAATACATTTGCATCATGACAAGGAAAGGGAGCATTGATTTGATTTGTAAAATGGAGAGTGGGCCATCTGAAGGAAGCAGAAAATACGTGACAATTGCTAGCTATTTGCCTCTTTTATGAAAAGTGCTCCCTGCAGCTGTGTCTTGAATAGGGTTTTGTTTTTGTTTCTCTTGCCTGCGATTGTCTATAGGGCACTTTTTTCAGGGCATCACAGATGTCAGATGAAAACGATACACCCAGATAGCTTGTTATACACATCCTGTGACTAGATTCCCTCCTATTTTCTAATAACATGTCTGTGTGAAGTTCTGGGCATGACAAGTTCCCGGCATTGCTTGATATTCCAGGCATGCTGATGGTGGCATGTTAGGTTTAGAGGAACAAGCAGAAGCTCAAAAATGAGCATATTCACCAAGCAGTAAGCGAAGCATCAAGCGATGGCCTGCACATTGCACGTGTCCCTGCCAGCAAATGGTCAGTGAGCAGCCTCAGCCAAGGATGGGTGCATCTGTCAAGTTCAGTTTCACTCCACTTCCAGTTTTCCCAACCTTCAGTTCATTTTGCCCCATGGATACCTCTGAGAGCTTTTGAAAAAACAGCCTGCAGAAAAGCTCACATGTATTTTCACACACATTGCTATAGCATACTCATTTTTGTACTTGTTTCTTCCTAATGCATATATATCAGCGAACAAGTTTTCCTAATGCAATACATGATATATGTTGTTTTTGGTAATGTGCTCGTTTTTGTATGCTTTTTTGAGAACTGCTTTGCAAGATTTAGTAAAATGTGAATACTACAGTAGAACTGCAGTTTGGTTTGTGTATTGGCTATGGAAGCGTAAATTAGGTGTGAACTAAGCTAATTTCTCCCTCATCCCTTGTCCAATAATTCCATGAATGATGGAGTCGTGCCATTTAATTGAATAGGGAGGGGGAAAGCATCTCCTGCTGAAAAATGGCTGGGGTAGGATGAAGCGCAGGCTTTTAAAAGGGATTTTGGGGCAATATCGTTCTTGGTAGGAGGACTGCCCACCCCCCCATTGCAATTTTCAGGGGGAAAATTTCAGGGTTTTTTTTTTTTGCTTCCCAATCAATTGAATGGAAACATCCCTCCATGTACTTGAAAAGAGAGGAAAAGGGATCACTTGCTGAAAAATGCCTGGAGTGGAACAGGAGTCTTGCCCACCAAGGACATGTGGGCAAAAGGATCCATGACAGAGGAATGTCTCCTCTGCCTGTGCAGCCACATTTCAGCCGGGAGCTGTTTCCTCTCTATTTAAGTGATGGAGGAAGTCCTTTCATTTACCTGAATAAGGGGAAGAGGAGAAACCAGACTATGCTGTCAAGTTCTTTAATGTTTCTGTCCTTTTAGAAATGCTACAAAATGCATAGTATAGACAGTCACACGGTTTTCTGGCATAAAGTATGCAGCCATACTCCATGAGATTTTGAATGCTATATTTCTCTATAATAATGATAAACAATCAGTAATGAGTAAGTTTAAGATAACATCTGTTCACAGAAACTATTTCCTGCAATTACATCATTCAAATTTAAAAACCCAATTTCTCGCATAACTTGCTATATGGGTGAAACAAATCCTGTGATGGAGATGAAAAAGTGTTCCTAGAATGACTTGTGAAAGTGAACTGAAACATACCACGGCCCTTGCTTTTCCTTTACTGATGACGACAACTTCCCATTTCTGTTTAATTGTAAAAGTCTTCCCCAACCTGGTGCCCTCCAGATGTTCTGGACTTTAATTCCTATCTGCCCCAGCCAACTTGATCAATATGCAGGACCACTGGGCATGGTAGTCCAAACTACCAGGGTATCAGGCTGGGAAATGTTGTATTGCCATACTAGCTATTATGAGGTGGGTGCCTAACAGCACTATTTGAACTCAGACTGGGAATTAGACCTTAACAGTGTTCACAGATATTTGAAGCCCATTCTCACCCATGCGGGACCACCACTTACTACAACCTTACCTGAATGGTGTAATCCTGTGGCCAGATTGCTAACTAGCCCTAGAGCCTATGGGGTAAGTATTTAGCTTGCATGTGCATGTTTCATTATTTTGGGAGTTCCACTGTGAGATCTCCAAGAAGTTAACAGAAAGAATTACACTGATTTCAGGTTAACTTTCATTGAGGCTTAGAGCATGCTTTCTCATTCAACTTGGTATAAAAAACCCCAGGTTGAGCCTAAGAGTTCTGAGCCAACTCACATGATGAGACTGATAGACTTGAATCCGGACAATTGGATCCATCCAGAATTCTCTTTATAAGTGCTTCAACACACAATTGGCAACTCAGTCCACATTACTGTACCATTGCAAAAAAGATATTTGACCATAATACTGTTATTATATGTGCCAGAAGTTAGAATATTTTTGTTTAAAGGATGAAGGAGAAAATGTGTGGAGAAAGCTACTAATATTGGCTACATTATTCTGCTTTAGATTCCTGGGAGCCTCAAATAGTCCCTAAACCAGGAGACTGCATCTAGTCGGGGATTTGGGACAACCAATAGGAAAGTTCTGCTTAGAATCCAGAGATCCATGTATGTTCCAATGTGCCCATGAAGATCCTATGCTTGCAAGCTTACTATTCACTTAAACTGAATAACATATACATATCTCATACCATAGGAAGTTACCCAACCCAGTAGAGTGATTAGGAAGGCAACTTGCAAGCATGGATGCACTGTACATGAAAAGTGAAAATCAGGTGATGTTCCAGATGCTATTGGCCTGCAATTCACATCAGCCCTACCCAATACAGCCAATTGTAAGTGAAGGCAGTAGTATCCTGAGATTTCCATCCCAAGTTCTATTCCATTTTAATGCACTTGTATTGGCACAAGAGGAGCTTGTGCTACTTCTCGTTCACCTCTCCGCTTGATTACCACATCTTATCAATTTCCAGGGATATGCAGGAGGTCCCAAGATTTCCTGACCCTAATCCTACCCTAACTCGGAGCTTTGCCCCATTTTCCTAGTCATTGCAATGCACCTATCATGAAACACTGCTGCACAGAGCTCTGCATTTCCAGGCCCACAGACACTCAGGGGGATCCAGGATTTCCAAACCCTGACCCTAAGGTGAAGCTTCATCCCATCCCTGACAGACATTGAGCCTGGCTGTGCCCTGGGAAACTGCTCTCAGTTGAAGCACTCACAACCATCATCATGACCACTCCTTTTGCATACCCATTCCCATTGATTTCTGGTATGGAATAGGTGCAAAGGGAGCCCCTCTTCTCTATCCTTAACCATTACCTGAGATTGTCATCCCGTATCTCAAGCCACATTGATGCACCTATGCATGGAACTCTCCAGGTTTTCTTTCTGACCACTCAGCTCTCTGCCTCACATTGAGCATTTCCAGGTTCCTAGCATTCCCTGGGATACCAGGACTCCCTGGTCTAACCCTGTTTGGAGTTTTTACTGCATCCCCCATAGCCATCAAGAATTGCTCCACATTGAGCCATGTGGCACAACTGCATCACTCACCCAGTTTTGTTGCTCCATCTTCTTGATTTTCAGAGCCCCACAGCGGCACAGGGAGTATTGCATTTCTACACCTAATACTTCCCAAGGATTTTAAGTTCAGTGCTTCTACCCCATGTAATTCAAGGACATTCATACGTACAGCAATGCACTCTCAAGTGGTTGTTGTTTTTAACCTCTGAAGTTGCCTGCCGTCTCTCATGAATGTCCATTCCCCTGGTCATGCTCAGGGATCCAAGATCTGCTAACCCAATACTAAACTGAAGTTTCATCCCAACCCTTCAGGTCATATAGACTTCCTATAGATTGATACATCTCTCACAAATGCACCTCCCAGGAGTTCTTTGCTTGATTTGGGTACCCAACCCCCTTGATTAGGTAGCCCATGCATGGGAGCTCTGATTTCCCAACCCAAACCCAATATTTTCACCCCCATGCTCCTACCTTATGGACAGTCATGCCAGTGTGGAAATGCTGTTCTCCAGCTGCTTTTTTGGCCATGAACATGCAGGCCCCTGGACATGCACAGGGATTCAAGATTTCTTAAACTTAACCTGGAGCTAATTTTTTGCACTCACCATTCAAGGCAGGAAGAATTCCTGTGCATCCAGACAAACTGCCCAAGGTAGCGATCAGGATCTTCTCTGTGACCACTCAGATATTCTTGGACTGCAACTCCTGCTTTCCTTTACAATTGGCTCTGTTGGTTAGGGCCCAAGAACAGCATCTCAGTGTCACTAGCTGACCACCCTTCATGCACATGGCCCATTATTTTTCTTTCAGTCTTACCATTTGCCTTCTGGGAATTTAGTGTTTTGTGGCCAGCCATGCCTGACATGGCTGCCATTTTATGAATAATGCTTGCCAGCTTGTTGAAGCACCCACAAAACTCTCAAAAATCCAATGTTGGGAACTCTTATGTAAAGGAAATCAAGAGAATTTTAATCAAATCAAGACAAAATTTGATAGAACTGCAAAGCCTTATTGTGATTTTTTTACCCCTTCCTTCCTTCCTTCCTTCCTTCCTTTCTTCCTTTCTTCTTGCATTAAAAACTGCCCAGGAGCAACTGAAGGATGATGATATGGACTTTATTGTCAATAATGATGAACTGACTCAGAATTATGAGGCCTCTGACCTTTCTCCAGTGCCAGCACAGAGCAGAAAAAAATCACCCTATCCTGCAGGTGAAGAAAACATTTATGAAGGAGACCTTGGCTTAGGAGGCTATGAACTCCAATCTGAACCTGTCCCAGGTCAATCCCAGTTGACTTCTTCTGCCTGAAATCCAGTGAAAATGTGCATCACAGGCACAACGAGGAGCTCAGAAGCCATGTTTATTATGCAGAGTTAGTGAGAAGCTTGAAAATGTATTAAGGGCATAAATTGAGGAGAAGAAAAACCTTGCTGGATCTCTCCCTGGAGCCTAGAGGAACTGAGAATTTATTATCATCTCTATACATTATACAACTACATTTAATTTTTCTGACAGTGGCAATTCTTAATAATGGAATTGAGGGCACTGCCTGCTACTGGGACATTACATATGCACTCCTATTCTCTGATCAGGCTTCATCATTCCTGTTCCTATCTTACATACACACAAAAGCGCTGAATGTTATTCTTCTGATTAATTCAAGAGAGGAAAGTGTGGGAATTTATTTAACTAGGACATGTTCCGAAGATCACAGGCATGTTGACCCTTTTGATCTCTTGCCAGTACACTATCTTGTGGGGATGAGGTGGACAGATTTTTGTACAGCAAGCTGGGGGCAGAGGCCTGTGTCCCATCATTTTGCAATGCTTTACAAGTCTTTCAGTATGTGGCAGTCTGCTAACTAAGGGTTAATAATGCAGCAGACAAAAACTGGGCATTGATATATGAGCTACGGAAACCTAAACAGATCAATAAGAGAGGGTTTTATATTATTATTTTGATTGAGCATGATCGCCAGTATAGACAGCAATTATGCATCTTTCCCTAACCCATTTGTTGCCAGTCGTGTGCAGTAGATTCATAATACAAAGTCCATGTGCTGGCTTGAAGCAATCTTTCATCAGATTCCCTAATGTTCACTGTTTACTTCTGGAATCTTGAGTGAGTGTGTGTGTGTGTGTGTGTGATGTATAGGACTTTCAAAATAATGTGTGCACAATCTTTTGCATCTGCTGTGCAGTTTTAGAAAAATGCAGAAAGGAATGAGAGTCTTAGACTAAAAACTGCCCTGCATATAGTGTGGAGTAAAGGTGGCCTGACCTCATGAGCACAAGATCATCACTGTACCAACCCACAAATTAGGAAGGTTTGCAATGATGCCCCAATGCACTATATTTATAAACACCCATTTACTATATTACACAGTATTATACGGACTATAGTAGGGTGGGACAGCATGGCTGAAATGTTTGATGTTAACTAAATGCTACAGATAAGGTGACTAACTGTCTTCTTAATGATATCTGAGTCTTATCAGGAAGTCCACTGTGGGCAACCTGTCCTCATCCTGTCCCACTGCTTCCTTCCCTAGTAGCCCTTTTCATACTCATCTGAAGCTGCCTTATAGTGAGTTGCTCCATTGGTTCATCCAGTTCAGTGTTGTCTACACAGGCTGGCAGTGGCTCTCCCGGGTTTTATTGCTGCCTAGAGACAGCAGGGATTGAAACGGGGATTTTCTGCATGCAGAGCACATCCTCTTCAGCTAAGCTGCAGCCCCTCCCTAGCTGTTCCTGTGTGCCACAAAGCCTTCCCCTGGTGGCATTCTCAGTATCTGGAAAGAAAGGAATGGGTGCTGAAATACAACAGCTCTGTGGCGAAACACAGTGCAAACCCAGATGATGCAACTATTAAACTGCAATACAGTGTTTATCTTTGTTTTTCATTTCACTGTGGTGTGCTGTTGTTTACAGTGCATTCTGTCTGTTTGCTGACTTCTCCAGCATTAGAAGAGCATCCAGTGTCTACAAATGTTTGGCTCCTTGGAGCCTTATGTGAATGTTATTTTGTTGCCATTCTTTGTCCTCTAATTATTTCAATCATCTCCCCCATCACACACACAAAATGTAATGAATCATAACAAAAATAGAATTCAAGATCTTTTGCATCGCTATTTTGGCTTATAGAATGTATTTCTACAATTTCTCCAAACTTTGCCTCCAGAGCAGGATGAGCAGACAAAAATATGAGGCCAAGATAAGAAGTTAAGGCATTCCAAGTATGCAGGTAATAGTTCTCATGCCTCCAATCTGATCTGTATGATTTTTATTCATTCACACTTCTTTAGTGCAATAAGTAAAAGCAAGGCAATTGCCCTCTTTGTAACACTGTCTTCCAGACTTATGTGCATTTTGATGTAAACTGTTTTCAGTGCAAATAACATAGATTAGATGTTGTACCATGCACCTCAAATCAACACAAATTTACACTAACAATGTCATGCAAACAAGTTATAGAGTCACCTCTGACAAGTTGTTTTTTTCCTTTTATTACCCATGACCCTTCAATACTTCTTAGCCTAGTGCTATAAGGCATTGTTGCAAAATACATGCCCAAGCAACATGTACTTAAAGGCACATCTCCTTGGGAACCTCCTTCTGTGCTATCATACAGCTGGAAGTACGACAAGCAATCCCATGGAAAAGGGGATTCAAGATCTCAAAGTGTAACTTACATTTTACTTCCTTGTGCACGAACCAAGGACAGCCCTACCAACTGGTAGAGTGAAGCACTTGCTTCAGGCAGCAGATTGGGGGGATGGGGGGAGCTGTGGCAGCCCATCAGCCATTTCTCCTGAAACTGCCAGCCATTTTCCTCTGCGTGCTGCACAGCCCATTGTACACACCCTAAAGGAGCATAGGCCACCACCAGTGTTGAAGTCAAGATCCATTCAGCTTCAATAAATGAAATGGGTATGGGCTTGTTGAAATTTTCATAGGCAACAAAATAATTTGCCATGAACCGTTGCCCTAGTCCAGCTTGGGGTTTCCCAAATTTGCTTTCTGGCTACTCAAATGTAACACATGTAGATTTCAGGTGAGATGAGTGGCTGCATCCAAGACACCCTCAAAAAATTCAGTGCAATTCTTCAATGATAGAGGTTACACTTTAAGGCCACAATACAAGTACTCAACTGAAATTAATGTACATAAAGATGATTACATTGGATTATCACTTCTGTTTCTCAACTCAGGAATAAAGTTTCAAGTTGCTTATTGCAAAGCTGTAAAAAAGTTCCCACTATACAAGTTAAGCTATAAACTAAAGTTGATTAAAGAAGACCTCATGATTTTAGATATCATCTGTAATCTGTAAGAATAAATGTCAAGTTATTTCAATGAAACTCTGAATGATTGTAAAGTGGAATGAGTTGGAGTTCCATCATCAATGGAAACAGCAACAAAAACTTAAATATAATCAAGTTGTAATCTTGCTTCCAAATCTAATTAATTGCTGGTTGTGTATAATACCAAAGTAACTGCTTTAAGCATAAATTAAGGAGCAGGAATCCTATGATTAGAAACATTTTTAATTTTTTTGCAAAGCATGTACCAAATTGCTTCAAAGGATCATAGTCCCCACCAGAAAAAATGGCTTAGCTGATATCGAATACTGATGAAAATAAGTCATTAATTTATTACTTAATGGCATTCTGTGAGGAGAAATGAAGAGAGGACAGAGGATAGAAGTGTTCTACACACAACAAGGTATTTGGGTCTTATGATCACAATGATATGCCTCCTCACTGTTCCCAGGAAAGAAGCAACTAGAACTTTCCATCACCCAAGGTAAGAACTGAGACTTCTGACTATGGTTTTAGGACAAAAGGATGGACAGCACCTTACCCAGAAGTGTCGATTCACAGAGGAGTCCTAAAATCTTGAAGTCCTAACTTTAGCCAGCAGACTAAAGTTATGCCGCTTATATAGCTTAGCATAGACTAGCCTTCTATAAACTTGTGCCCCCCAGATGTTTTGAACTATAATTTCCAGCATTCCTGAGCCTTGGTTAGACTGGCTGCAGCTCGTAGGAATGGAAGTCCAAATCATCTGGAGGGCACCATGTTGGAGAAGACTGGCATAGGGATTAGAGGTGTGCAGACTGTGCCCAGTAGCCTTTACAAAAGTTGTGCAATGACTTATATGTATACATAAATATATGTATATTTTATGAGACACCAAACTCCCAGCCCAGCCAATCAAGGATACTATTAAGTTGCAAATTTGGGAACTTTTCTGACTGTTATGCCATTTAAGTGGACAAAATGGGATCTGTGTGTCCTCCTTCCAAGAATGCTCTATCTCATCTGAAATCAACCTTGCCCATCTGAGCACAAGGGGTATAAACACAATCCATTTTGGACAAGAACATGATGTGCAAGTAACATGCAATCTCCTCTCTCTCTGGGCCAGAATGCCCAGAACAGTATCTGAGCAGTATCAGGTGAGAGACAGGCAGAAGCAATGCATAGCCTTTAGTGGAGCTCAACAAATAACAGTTAAGCATAGATTATTATTACCTTTGTTGCATTAAATTAGCCTATTGCCTGATACCAAATATTTGCCACTCACTGTTTTGGTAGCTCTACTGTTTCTTGCCCTTACACAGATCTCTCCAAGCATAACAGCAGCCCCCCTGCGGATTTATATGGGGCTCCATTCACACACACTCCCAGCCACATGGCCATTTCCCTTTGATGTGCAGCTCTTGCATGAATTTTTCAGCCCCAAAACCAGAACCATTTGTATAGGTCTGTCCTATGCAAACCTCCTTTGGAAGAAGTTTAGGGTTAGGGGAAACTTTTAAAAGCACCAATCTTGTTTTTAAAAACAAACCTTTCTATTTACAGAACCACAAGCAAAGAGGGGGAACTAAAGATACAAAAACTTGTGCCAAAGTTTTCTTCAAATTCTATATGTAAAACCTTCCACATCTGAATATATGCTGGGTATCACCGATCCTGCAATTATTAGTCACTTCCTCCAACAGAATCCCATCAAAATGGTTAGCGCTACTACTCATGCCTTTTGTTTTGTTTTGTTTTGTTTTGTTATTTCTTGTTCTTTTTCAAGCAAAGCTAGATAAACAACGCATCTAAAAATTCTTAGTTTACATGCTTTTTTCTGGTTGTAAAATGTCCATGCAGTTGAACTGAATGTGCAAATGCAACATTTAGGATTAATTTAGGAAGCAGTTTTCAGCCTTTGCAGCTCTGAAGATAGTGCTGAAAATAAGCACAAGTGACCTTAGTCTTAACAGACATATGGACAGTCTGAACTCCTGTGGGCTGAACTCCTACAGCTGCAGTAAACACAAGGCTCTTCTTCTCCTTTTCCCACAGCTAACCCCAAAAAGGTTTCTATCAAGTCTGACTGCTGATCCCTAGTTGTGGGGGAGGAGCCCTGCACAGACCTCTGAGACCCTAATCTGGAAGAAAAGCAGAATCTGCATCAAAAATGGGAGGGAAGTGGCAACTTGGAGAGAAAGGAGAGGGAGGAAGTTTCAGATACCACACTGCACAGCGAGATGCTTACCCTTTCCCAGGGTACCCTCTTGACAAGTGACTGGAGCAAAAGCACTGGGAAAGGCGAGGGGTGTTTTTTGCATGTACTTACTTAATCCATTGTGTCACTTTCCCAATTTAAATGGTCCCCCCGCCCCTCACACACACACACACCATAGTATAATCAGCCCTCTTGGAGGGGAGGGAAATGCAGACATGATAAAGGAACAGGGCACTAATTAGATTGGTAAAATAGCATAGAGAGAAGATTAAACAGCCCTTGCCCAGTTCCTGTGCTGTGCTCCAAAACACAGGGTCCAGCAAGGCTACTTTGAACATTACAAGGATCCACAGGTCTCCCATATCATGTCTAGTTTGGCCCTAATCACAATTGCTCAACTGCTTTAACTTTTAACAGTTTTGATTTATGAACCCAGTAGGGAAAGCTGATGACTATAAATAAAACATACTACTACTTTATTCAATTAAAGCTTTAAAAATGGATACACTGTTGTCTCTAAAAATGCATTTTTAAAAAGCAATGTACATATTCCTACCACATGAAGAGATATTATTAGCAGGCATTATACTTGCTGAAGACAAGCAATACACCAGTGAGTTAAAGATAATTATAAGACTGTCCCATAAGCATTATGAGATTTCTTCTAATAGAGTACATACTAAACTACCCCAGTGTCCCAGAATACATAGCAGATTGGAACTGAAGATACAAGGCAGAAGAAAAGAGTGAGGGAATACAAAGGGGAATAAAGAAAAGTAAAGGAAATAAGAGAATTAATCAGGATGCAAATGGAGAAAATGGTCCTAAACAAAATCACAAAGGAGTTCAAGAAAGATTTGTCTGGAGATTTTCTGGAATTTAGCAACATGTGCTTTTGTTCTAAGGAGGCCTTAAGTGTCAAATGTGTTTCCTCTAGGTATTTGTATTTGTTCTTCTTTTATCATGTTTTGAAACTGCCTAAAAACATTTCAGCTCCCAAATACCTAGCAGATACATTGTTGGTTTCCATTAGTGTGTTTTATCACTTCCCCATCTTTTCCCCTGCCCCCTTTAAAATCAATTTTACATGGATTTTAATAGACTTTCATTATTTCTATGCAAAGTGCCCTGAGTGGGAGGAAAAACACTGTCATCACCTTTCGCATTTAAGATTTCAGACTGAACCATCAAGTAATACTCCTGGGTTGTTCAAATTGGCTTAAATCCCTGCAGCTGCCACTTCACACAAGCAGCTCAACTCACATAAAAGCACCCATACTATTCAGGTTCCTAGCACCAAAAAAACTCTCTGAGAAGAGTGTACCGATACAGTCTGACTGGATATGTGTGTAGCTGAAAGTAAGACTGCCAAATTAAATGGAGCTAATTGTTCAGAAAATTGTACCTTCAACACTCATTCCTTTCTATTCTACCTCTCACCATTTCAGCAAAGTAACCATCTTTTAGCCCTATTCAAATCTTCACTGTGAAAACATAAGCGTACAAAATGTATAGCTTACTGGGAAGGAGTGGATATCTCCCACCCACCCCAACATTCCCGTATGTGCTAACCTCCCCTTCACTCCCAGCGCTTGCTTTTCACAAGGACTTCCACTCATGTGGAAGCATAAAATTGGAATGTGCTTAGACTCTGTCAAAGTCAGGAGTAGAAGGCAATAACATCTGCAGGATGTTTGGAAGGGAAGGACATGCAACATAGATCAGGAGGTGGCAACCATAGAACAAGCATTTCCATCTTTTAGAATGGGGAGCAACTGTACAAAGGCCTGGAGTGGCAATGGTTTGGGAAGTTTAACTCAGTTCACCCCCTCACACAAACATAGGCTCACCTCCTTCTTGCCACTACCATCATCACATGCTCAGAAACAGCAAGAAGAAAAGTAAGTCAGAGATGCAGAAGACCTGAAACTTCTGGAACTTTTCTGAACCAGCCCTAGAACAAGAAATTGATTCGTGCCCTGTGTTTTCCAAGACATTATTTTTGCAGAATTAAGAGCATTTCCAGTGAAGGCTCATGAGATAAATGGGATTCATATACATGGATAAAACCATTCCTGAGTAATGTTTGTAAGGAAAACAAAGATATATCTTTCAGTCCTGGTTCCTGCTCTTCATCCCACATGGACCCTAGATTAAGAAAAAAAAAATATTTCTGGGAGCCTATTAACACATCTACTGCAATCCAGTGATTTCACCTGGCACTCTTATCTTATAAAAGATTTTAATTAGTTTTATTGTGAGTCTGTCATGAGTTATCTCAAAAGTTCCTGTTAAATAGGCACTGTGTGGTATTTATTTTATATATATATATATATATATATATATATATATATATATATGAATGAGAGAGAGAGAGAGAGAGAGAGAGAGAGAGAGAGGGAGAGAGAGAGAGAAAGAGAGAGACTGACTCACACACATAATGAAACCACCTTTAATAAAAATAAGCAAGGCTGCTAGAGAAAGCAATGTTGGCCTCTGTGTTTAGCAGATAACCTCTATTTCTGTTGATGACTCTTGGGATCTTTTGAAATGTCAGCTTGAATATTGAAAAGGTTTAAAATCTGAGACTCAGAAGCACCTCCAATTACATACACACCAAAAGAATGCTCCTCTAGATTTCCAGGTAAGTGCACAAGGGAAAGACCATGATGATTTATAGCAAGGGTGAGCAATTCGTGGCCCTCCCAATATTTTAGCCTACAACCCCTATCAGCCCTACCAGCATAGCCACGTGTGAGGGATGCTAGAAGTTGCCATCCAACAAGATCTGGCGGGTCACAGGTTGCCAAACCCTGTTTTACAACTACAGTTTTCTCCTGGATTTC